AAGGGAAAGGGTGTTATGTGAATTACTTCTCTATATGCTTAGCTGTTTTGGAAGCATAGATGATAGGATGCAAGAGCATGTACTTTTGGAATTTTTGGGTTGTGTATTTTATATTACAGACTCTTGTATCGAGGACCTATGTGGGGAAAACATGTATTCTATATATGAAATATGTGTTATATGCAATATGTGGATTTGGGGTGTTACAAGTAACACAATCCAGAAGTTTTCTTCAAAAAATTTCAGATCTGATGATTTCTCTTCGTGATTTCTTGCAATTCCGGCTCTGATACCAATTGTAGATCCCACTTTAATCAATCTTCAAGAAAGCTTCACTTTATCAATGACATATCTTAATATTTCAGTAAAGAACATATGATGAGAGTAGAGAGAAAAAGTCAACACCCAAATATGGTCAATCTTCTTATTTACGTAACTGATATTACAATTGAGAATCCTACCTAAAATTACAAAGCCAACACCCTTTATATAGGGTCAAACTACAAGACAAAGATCAAAGTCAAATAGTCTAAGAAAAGTCAAACACGACGACTTTTACACAATTATAGACAAAATTAACTTTCAAGACGAATACAATTTCACACTGAATTTCATTCCTAACAGAAAATGACATAAATAACCATTTTATACAACCCACTGTTACAAAATAACCACTTTCTAGAGCATTTACGAAAATACCCACACGGATCGTCCCCGGGGGGAGATCCGTACTATTCGGGGCGATCCCGTACTGGTTTCTAAGAAGAAAAAAAATTGGTGGGTCCCACTTTCAGCCTAAAAAGAAGATATTACTATGCATCTCGTAGACCGGGCCCTGATCGCCCCCCTAGGGCGAGCCACCTCATCAGATCCCCCCCAAGGGCGATCCAGCCTTTAATTCTTTTCTTTTTTTCATTTTTTTGCGGTATTTTAGTTAAAACTGATATGCCATTTAAATTGTATTTTTTAATTTTTTTAGAACCAAATTTCATGGTTAAATGTTTAAAAATAAACCATGATAATTATGGAGACGCAAGAATTATTTTTATCTGATTTGGGTTTTGTAAATCAGATATAATAATTGATTTACGAAATTTGACCTCTATTTCGTCATTTTGTGATTTTGATTTGACAATTAAGTGGTGTTTTTAATAAGAATGAAACAATACATAAACTGTGTTTTTTTAGGTATTTAATTTAAAATTTCATGGTTTTTCGTTATAAAATAAGACAATGATAATTGTGGTTACGAAAAAAAAATTTAGCTGATTTTTGGAGAAAAAATTAGACATTATATCTGATTTACGTAACTTGACCGCGTTTCGCGTTTTTTCATGTTATGACACCTCTATGACGTTGATTTGACGCCGATTTGACAATTAATTTTGTGTTATTACTTAACGTTTTATATAAATAGGCGGTGGGGGACCATAAGTTCACCATCCATCCCCACCACCGCTCGTTTTCTCTAGAAAAACCGAGCGAAAAACCGAGCTTGGACCATCCCCACCGACCATCCCGACCAAAAACGACCACCATTCTTCGATATACCGTCGTACACCACCGTTTAACGACATCGACCACCTTCCGCTGCCACCGACCACGGTGAACCACCGCCGTCGGCCACCATCCGCCGCTACCGACCACCGTGATCTGCCGCCATCTACCACCTTCCGGCGCCACCAACCACCGTCCGCCGCCATCCACCACCGTCCGCCGCCACTATTGAAACACCGGTAAATACTCTATATATCTATATATGTACATGTATCTATCTATCTCTATATCTATGTATCTATCTATCTCTCTCTCTCTCTCTATATATATATGTATCTATCTATATCTATATGTATGCATCTCTATATATATAAATGTTACCGCAATTTATTCTCGTTTTTATACGTAAATGTAAGTACGTATATACATACGTACACATATATACGTACATACATACGTAAATATACGTAAATACATATATACGTATATAAAAATGGTTATTTTGTACAAGTGAGTTGTATAAAATGGTTGGTTAGGTCATTTTCTCAAAATAAAAACAATAAAAAGAAAAAAACAAAAAAATAAAAAAAAGGCTCAGGGTGCCAATAATACACATTAACAATGTCATTAGCCTTCCTCTGTGATTAGGACTAATATACTTTTTAAAAAACAGTATCGCTAACGCGCGTTGCGCGGTGGGCACACTAGTTTTAAGGTAAAAACGGATTACTTAGATTAACCGTTAAGAAGAGACTTGAAAGATCAGGATAGGGGGAGAGAGGATCAATGAATTGGTCTGTTGGCGGTCCGATTGGGGGGAAGATTTTGTCAGGTTTCCGGCGAAGAATCGATGGAGCAACAGTGGTTGCTACTAGGAGAGTCAAGGAGGATGGCGATAGCTGTGGTGTAAGACGCCGTCGTGCTGCACTTAGATTGGTGGATAGGCAGCTAGAGAAAAGCAACTTCAAATTGGCCCTTTCTTTAGTCAAACAGTTGCAGCGTCAACCACCTCCAGCTGGTCTCCGTGGTTTTGCAGGTGCCAGACAGGTCGTTGTTTTTGGTTGTCCTTCTGATTTTGTACATTGGAAAACTGCTGCTAGTTGTTCGCATTATATTATTTGAGTAGAATTAATGTTAGAGAAGACAACGCGTATGTTTATATGATACTTTATTTCCTTTAAAACGCATATGTTTATATGATACTTTATTCCCTTTAAAACTATATTCTCGATTTCACTTCATGAGGTTGAACTGAGCCAATTTGTTCAGATTTAGTACTACCACAATTGTAATTTCAAATCCTAAAGTCATAAAACCCCCTTTTCAGTCTGTTGATCCAAATTGATTGCTGGGTTGACTACAAAGGTCAAAGTAGACTCCAGTTGTGGGATAGAGGGAGGAGTAACTAGCATGTCCATTCTGTTTATATATCAATTTTAATGTTGCTGAAAGATATCCTTTAATATATAGGTTCCCCGTAGAGTCTTGTCGGTACAGGAGTTACATCTCAGTGTGACAGAAACATCAGCTCTTCAATCATTATTTGATTCCATTCTTGATTTAATCATGAGTAGCCTTGAATCATCGCCATTGGAGGAGGTACTTCTGTTTTCTTTGTATTATATATTGATGTCTCCTAATTTCGTCTTGTTGCTAACCAACTGAGATGCTGATATTTTCAGAAAACCTGCCATCTTCTTTTTAACCTTGAGTTTCCGGGCCAGCTTGAACATACCTTGGCTAATCCCGTCACTCCTAAGTTAACAGCTAGACAAATCTCCTGTGGCCCTGAGGACACTCGAACTGGTGACCACTAGGGAGTAAACCCAAGACCCTACAAGTTGAGCTATCCTTGATGGTTAAACCTGGCATCTTACTTTGTGTATCTAGAGAGTTAGAACACTTAGATGGCAGGATTTACATGCCAAAAGGCATTCTATACGATGTCACATGTTTGGCATTTAGTTTCACATCTCTTATAGATGTACTTCTCTGCTAGCATATCATATGCTTCTTACATTAGCATTAATGCATACTGTGACATCCCGTTCCCGGCGGTATCGTCCTCTGCCCTTAGTACAAGTGAATGAAAGAAACTTCATATCTTAAACTTTTATTTCATTATAATAGAGTTATTACAGCAGCGGAAATGCAGAAATTTACAACTTATAATATTCTAACATCTTAGAATAACAACACTTCAGCTTGTTCCTACTTCTTGATTCCAGAGATACATACATGAATATGTAAGCTTTAAGCTTAGTGAGTAGTTATGGTTTCATGATAAAACATTCTTTCCAAATAGTTAAAATAATTCTTATAAACTTTCATTATAAAAAAAACATTTCTTTGAGATCTCATGGTTACATGTTAAGTAAACCAACTTCTCACAGGTTCTGTAACCTCGAGTCCACACAAGGGCTGCCCAATAAGGTCCGTTTGCAAGATGTACCTTTTTTCTATATCCCGTACGTTGGATATTTAAATGGTTATACTTAACATGTATAAAGACTTTCATATACCACATGTGCATCACGACATAAAATGTGTATTTTGTCACATAATCATAACATAACTTTTACAAGAAGATATGACAATACTCTTTCATGCATAAAACATTTATATATATATATATACATATATATATATATATATAGCACGTATGTATCCCTGTAAATCTCATAGCGTACTCACTTTATTTATACCCTGCTTTGGGCTTTCTAACTCACTTCTTAGTCTTTACTTATTATGCTTTTAGGTAGTGTTCCAAATCTTGGGATGAAAAAGAATGAGCCCTTTAAGCTTCTATTATAGGGCGTATGACATGCCTTAAGGTACTTGTTCACTTGGCTTTTTAACTTGTAAATTTCTAAGGATATGCCACATATGTACTTGTTCATTCTTATCTTCTTTCCTAGCCTTGCCTTGTAATGCTTTTAGGGTTTCCACAAACTCTTTTCCTCCTACAACTCATTCTCTAGGCTTGCTTTGTCATAAAGAGTAGGCTTGCTTTGTCATAAGATTTTTGTGGCTCCTGTTGTTTGTTTATAAGTAGCTTAGTAAGCTACTTATGTGCTTATTGGTAAGTAGCTTTGTAAGCTACTTGTGTGCTTGCTTACTTATTTATCTCTATAATTAATATGTTTTTACTAAAAGATGTTATTTACCTTGTTTTAGTTCTTATATTAAGGGCCTTTAGAAACAACTTAACTTTATAAGAAATTATGATAAAGATATGTATATATCTATATACCTGGTTGAAAATTAGGGCTGTTACAATTCTCCCTTCCTTTTAGAGATTTCGTCCTCGAAATTTTTACTCGAAAAGATGTGGGTACTTCGGATTTCCGATTCTACTCCCATGTTGATTTTAACCAATGGTGACAGTCCCAATGGACCAAGACTCAAGACACCTCTTTTTTCAAAGCTTCTTAACTTTACGTTCCACAACGGCTATGGGATCTTCTTCAAAATTGAGTTTGTCATTAACAGTAATTTCTTCAGCCGGAATCACATCCGTTTCGGCAAGGCATTTCTTTAAATTGGACACGTGAAAAGTGTTGTGTATTCCCTTCACTTTTTCTGGCAGTTCAAGTTGATATGCTACTTCTCCGATCTTTTCAATAATCTTATAGGGCCAAAATATCGTGGTCGTAATTTACCCTTTTTGCCAAAACGTAGAACCCCTTTCCAAGGTGATACTTTTAGTAATACCATGTCACCAACCTCGAATTCAATGGGCTTACTTCTTTTGTCAGTGTAGCTTTTTTGCATATCTTGTGCGATTTTGAGTCTTTCCTTATTTGAGTAACCTTATCCGCAGTTTGTTGGATAATTTCAGGTCCAAATAGTTGCTTTTCATCAACTTCCATCCAACCCAACAGATGGGTGTTCTACATTTCCTTCCGTATAGAACTTAATATGGGGCTGCCTTGATGCTACTATGGTAACTGTTGTTATAAGCAAACTCGATAAGAGGTAGATGGTTATCCTAATGACCTTTCTAATCAATGGCACATGCGCGTAACATATTTTCTAATGTTTGAATTGTCCTCTCACTTTGACCATCAGTTTGAGGATGATATGCCGTGCTCATTTTGATCTGTGATCCCAACTGTTTCTGGAAACTCTTCCAAAAATTTGAAGTAAAATGACGATCTTGATTTGACACAATTGATATTGGTACGCCGTATCTCGAAACAATCTCGTCAATATACATTTTGGCTAATGTTCTAAGGTTTGTGTTTCTTTTATCGGCAAAAAGTGTGTTGTCTTGGTTAATCGATCAACGATAACCCATATAGCATCAAAACCTTTTGGTGTTTTTGGCAACCTTGTAACAAAGTCCATAGTGATATGTTCTCATTTCCAAACAGGAATGTCTAGCGGCTGTAATTGTCCATAGGGTATTTGGTGTTCAATCTTAACTTTTAGGCACGTAAGACATTTTTTGACGTAATTAGCCACAAACTTCTTCATTCCTGGCCACCAATACAAAGTTTTTAAGTCTTTGTTCATCTTATAGGTTCCAGGTTGGACTGGATACTTGGATTTGTGTGCTTCATCCAGAATTACTTCTCTACAGATGCCTATTCTTGGAACCCAGATTCGTCGTTGAAACCTTTTGATTCCTTTATCATCAGTTTCCAACAATTTAGCTTGCCCAAAAATCCTTTCTCCCTATTGATTGTCTTGCTTTAATGCTTCTTGTTGTGCTTCTTGAACCTTTTCCAACAAGGTGTTTGTAGCCAGCAAATTTAATGCCTTAATTCGAATATGTTTAGTTGGCTCTTTCCGGCTTAAGGCATCTGCTACAACGTTAGCCTTTGGATGGTATTTGATTTCACAATCATGGTCGTTTAATAATTCTATCCAATCCCTTCCTTGAGGCCTTTATGTCTGTGTAGAGTACACATTTTGTACCATACAAATAATGCCTCCAAAATTTCAAAGCAAAAACTATTGCAGCTAATTCCAGATCATGTGTTGGGTATTGTTTCTCGTGTTCCTTTAATTGGCGTGATGCGAAGGCAATTACTTTACATTTTTGCATAAGCACACATCCCAAGCCTTGTTTAGATGGGTTGCTGTACACTGCAAAGTCTTCTATTTTTTGGGGCAGACTTAGAACCGGTTCGCTACATAGCTTATTCTTTAAAGATTGAAAAGCCGCTTCTTGCGTAGCTCCCCAATTGAACCTGCAAGTTTTTCTTGTTAATGCTGTTAGTGGAGTTGCTATTTTAGTAAAGTCTTGAATGAATCGTTGATAGTATCCGGCTAATCCAATAAAACTTCGTACATCAGTTGCTGATCGTGGGGTTTCCCATTTCATTATGCACTCGATCTTGCTTGGATCTACCATGATACCTTTTTCATTAATAATATGTCCTAGGAACTGGACTTCTCGAATCCAAAATTCATATTTCGGAAATTTTGCATAAAGTTTTTCATGCTTTAATAGTTCCAAAGTCATTCTCAAGTGTTGCTCATGCTGTTCTCGTCTTTTGGAGTAAATGAGAATATCATCAATGAATACTATGATGAATTTATCTGGATACGGCTTACATACCCGGTTCAGAAGGTCCATAAACACAGTGGGTGCATTTGTCAGGCCAAAAGGCATGACTAGAAACTCATAATGCCCATATCGTGTTCGATATGAAGTTTTCGGGATGTCTTCTTTCCATACCTTTAATCGATGATATAGGTCTATTTTTAAGAAGAAACTTGCTCCTTGCAACTGATCAAACAAATCATCTATTTGTGGTAAGGGATACTGGTTTTTAATCATGACCTTATTGAGTTCCCGGTAATCGATGCACATCCTCATAGTTCCATCCTTCTTTTTGACAAAGAGTGTTGGCGCTCCCCAAGTTGACGAACTTGGACGAATAAATTATGCGTCAAGCAATTCTTGTAGTTGTTTCAAAAGTTCGTGCATCTTGGATGGTGCAAGCCCGTATGGTGCTTGTGCTATGGGTATTGCTCCAGGTACTAGGTCAATATGGAATTCCACTTGTCTATCAGGTGGTAGTCAGGGTAATTCATCCAGAAATACCTCTGGATATTCACAGACTACTGGCACTTCTTCTATTCGTTTCTCTTCTTTCTTTGTATTTATCAAATATGCTAAATAAGTTTCACATCCTTTACATATATACACTTCCTTGCTTTTAAAGCTAAGATAAAGTTGAAGCGATTCTTTTTGTGACTACTATAAATTATGATTTTCTTACATCCTTATTTTCAATTTTCACTATCTTCTTGTGACAAACTACATGAGCTTGATTTTCTGACAACACAATCCATGCCTATAACGACATCAAATTCACTAATAAGCATCGGTAGAAGCTTAATAGTGAAATAATGTCCGTCTATTTCTAAGGAGCAATTTTCATAGACTTCATCTATACTTGTGATTCTTCCATCCAATTTCTATTTCTATCTTTTGGTCTAACTTCTTAGATGTGCGATTTAATTTTTTGCAAAATTAAGACACCATTGACTTATTAGCTCGAGAATCAAATAATATTTTGGCAGGCTTTTTAACAATTAGGAAGGTACCAATCACCATGTCCGGTATTTTTTCGTTTCCTCAGCAGTGAGTTGGAATATCCTGATTGGTTTGAGCTTGGCTCCAAAGGTCGAAAGTACCAGGAGGTCCCATTCAAATCCAAGGAGGAATAAAAATCCCCTTGTGGCCACGGAGGTTCAAATGCGGTGACTCTGGGTTATCTGCAAAGCAGGTGGTTGCCTGGGATTAGTCAGCTCGCATAGCGGGTTGGATATCCAGGTTAAAAAAAAATATCCTTCCTCTGAATTTTCCAGATCTGGTTTGTTTCCACTAGTGGTTGCTATAGCTTTTTGCACATTCTTGGGCTTTGGACAGTTGTACACAAGATGTCCAGTTGAACCACAATTGTAGCAGGTTTTCCTTTCAGGACAGTTGCTAGCCATATGACCAGGTTGGCCACATTTATAAAATACCTTGTTGCCCATCGTAGACTTCCCACTATGGTTCTTATTGCACTTGGGGCAAATTGGTTTATCAGCTACCCTTTGTACCATTATTCCTTGCTTTCTTGGATGTTCTGCCAAAGTTTTTGTCTTCAAACCTTCTTTTTTCGTTTGGTTGGTGGCCATTGAGCATATAACTATCTTTTTCAGCTAAAATTGCCAAATCTACAGCTTCTTGGAAAGTCTTTGGTTGAGACATATTGACCAATTGTCGTAAGTCCTTTCTTAAACCATGTATGATACGATCTACCTTTCGACCTTCTGTTATTATCATGTCAGTTGCAAATCGAGACTTTTCTATAAATACTTCTACATATTCTTCCACAGATTTATTTCCCTGTTCAATTTTTATAAATTCTTCCTCCATTTTCACTCGGGTATTTGGGCAATACCTTTGATTGACTAGATGTTTGAATTCATCCCATGACATGATTGTTGCTCCCACGATACCTCGAGTAGCCTGAATGCTTTGTAGTCGCAGTTATGGGTCCTCCTTTCCCTTCAAATGTTTCAAAACATTGACATGTTTCAAAACAATTTTCCATGTCATCAAGCCAATTTATCGCAGCTATGGGTCCTCCTTTCCGTTCAAATGTAGTAGGACTAGTAGTTTTGAATGCTTTGTAGTCGCATCCTCGAGTTTGACCATTATCAGGTTCATGTCTTATTTGATTTTCTCCAGCTGTTGCTCCATGTACTGAGCTTTGATTCATAGCTGCCTGAACTTGAGCTATTATAGCTGTAGACTCTCCTGGATGCTTCGAGAGATTTCTGTTGCTATACTCTTTCAGAAGGATTGACTGAATTTGTTGGCCTATCCCCTTTGTTGGTTTGCTCCACGTCTACTTCCTTGTCTTGGTGGTCTAATATTCTTTGAATTGTTTCTATTTGTCCTTCGCGTATTCATTCTACAAAGTAATAACGTAAGAATATAAAGATAAGATTCGATTTCATGTCATATATCGTACAAAATTGGAACATTTGATACAAAACTTAAGGAAATGATAAACTTTTCCCTTTTCTTTTTGCTCCTATATATTTATATTCGCATTATATATACATATATATATATATATTAATATTCACATATATATATATATATTATTATTCGCATATATATATATACATATATCTGTATTCTATTTGAAAATTATAAGGGGCATGCCGGGTTCTTAAGAAGTCTCTAAATTGCCATGCCGGTTGGAGATTGAGGGTATTTTCCACTGGGTGATGACATTTCTTAATCCAAAGCTTAGCCCTCTTTGTCATGTGTGTTGCTTTATATTTCCAAAAGCGGATCCTATCCTTGATCCTTGCTATGATGGATCTTTTGGCAATCTTTCTCTTGTTCATAGATTCTGCATCTGAGTTCGAGTTCCCAATTTCTATTATCTAATTCTATTGCTTGTTCCCGAATCCGTTCGTATTCTTCTGTACTTATTGGTACCATAATCCAATTTTCAATTTCTTCGTAGATCGGTACGTCCTCTTGATATACATAACTAATTTGATCTTTTAAGATAGTCTCATCATCGGATATGCAGTTATCCATACCATAGGCTGCCATAATAATAAAAACATATATCTTATATATATATATATATATATATATATATTCTTGGGATGATGATTTTACCAAATTAGAGGAAATAAGAATGAAATTTTTTCCTTTTTCACATCCCTATTTATCAATACTAATTAATTAGTTGTTTGGCTCTTATATTATCTATTATTATTTTATTATAGTGGATTTTCAATCCCTTCTATGTCTCCTTTGGGCGGCAGGATGCCTAGCCTATAGTCTCTGGCAAAGGAGTTCCTAATAACATGGTTGGCATAAGCCAATTCTTCTTGTAATCGAACAACTTGGACCTGGGTTTGATTTAGGAGTTGGAGAGCTCTTTCCGTTTCTTTCCTTGATTCCCTTAATTTATCTTCCACAGTTACAGTGTACAATCTGATCCTATGTGCTTCCTCTTGTGCCATTGCGCACTGATGGTTGCTCTCAGTTATTTGATCCAATAAGGCATTGAAGTCTGCTTGGGTCAACCTGGTCGGATACAGGAAATTTTCTCCTACTATGCCCGATAGCATAGCTTCTGAGGAGGGTGCGCTATGTGAGGTAGAGATGTAACTTCTTGCTGCCAATACAAGTCCTCCCATGGGTATCAAAATATAACATGGTTATTTGCATCGGAGGCCTCAAAGTTATTTATAGTTGCATTAGGATTATTTGGTGGTTCCATTGGGTTGTAATCCGGAACTATTTGTTTGGGTACTTGATTTGGAGGGTTTAAGATGGAATACGGGTCTTCATATGGTGACTCAAGTAGCCATCCATTTCCATACTCAAACAAATCTTCTTCATTCCTCGCAGACATCTGTAATGGGTTAGAAATCCTTATAGAATGTATGCTAAAAATGTTGTTCAAGTCTAGGTTTGTCTAATCTAAGGCCAAACTTAGTTCACTTGAACTAAAGGCTCTGATACCAACTTGTGACATCCCGTTCCCGAGGGTATCATCCTTTGCCCTTAGTACAAGTGAATGAAAGAAACTTCATATCTTAAACTTTTATTTCATTATAATAGAGTTATCACAGCAGCGGAAATGCGGAAATTTACAACTTATAATATTGTAACATCTTAGAATAGCAACACTTCAGCTTGTTCCCACTCCTTGATTTCTGAGATACATACATGAATAAGTAAGCTTTAAGCTTAGTGAGTAGTTATGGTTTCATGATAAAACATTCTTTCCAAATAGTTAAAATAATTCTTATAAACTTTCATATATAAAAAAACATTTCTTTGAGATCTCATGGTTACATGTTAAGTAAACGAACTTTTCACAGGTTCTTTAACCTCGGGTCCACGTAAGGGCTGCCCAATAAGGTGCGTTTGCAAGACGGGCCTTCTTTCTATATCCCATACGTTGGATATTTAAATGGTTATACTTAACATGTATAAAAACTTTCATATACCACATGTGCATCATGACATAAAAGGTGTACTTTGTCACATAATCATAACATAACTTTACTAGAAGATATGACAATACTCTTTCATGCATAAAAACATTTATATATATATATATATATATATATATAGCATGTATGTATCCCAGTAAATCTCATAACGTACTCACTTTATTTATATCTTGCTTTGGGCTTTCTAACTCACTTCTTAGTCTTTACTTATTATGCTTTTAGGTAGTGTTCCAAACCTTGGGATGAAAAAGGATGAGCCCTTTAAGCTTCTATTTATAGGTGTATGACATGCTTTAAGGTACTTGTTCACTTAGCTTTTCAACATGTAACTTTCTAAGGATATGCCACATATGTACTTGTTCATTCTTATCTTCTTTCCTCGCCTTGCCTTGTAATGCTTTTAGGGTTGCCACAAACTCTTTTCCTCTTACAACTCATTTTCTAGGCTTGCTTTGTCATAATATTTTTGTGGCTCATGTAGTTTGGTTATAAGTAGCTTAGTAAGCTACTTATGTGCTTATTGGTAACTAGCTCTGTAAGCTACTTGTGTGCTTGCTTACTTATTTATCTCTATAATTAATATTTTTTTTCACTAAAAGATGTTATTTACCTTGTTTTAGTTCTTATACTAAGGACCTTTAGAAACAACTTAACTTTATAAGAAATTATGATAAAGATATGTACATATCTATTATTTGGCTGAAAATTAGGGCTGTTACACATACAACCAAGCCTACCAATGAAGCTTTTTGTAGGATATAGTGATGTCAATAGGAGAGTGGATGATCCCACCTGAATTTGCTTGTCTGTACAAAACTTATCTAAGTCGAACTCCTTGGTTGTAAATGTATCCACCAAACCCTCTAATACTTCACCCCATGTTAATTTCTGTGTATCCATTAATTATTTAATAAGCTTCACCTTGTAAAGAAAAATAACTTAGGGGCCAGACATGGATCCTATGCACTCTTGATTGGGCCATCTCTTATGTTATTGTGAACATGATTTTAAGGAACTCCTAGTAAAGAAAGCGCACATGTGATAGCCAGCAACATTCGTTTTTAGTTATAATTAATAATGTATTGCTTCACTAAATACAAGTGTAGAGATGGTTTACATTGAATTATATCATGATGAAGTGTGGCTATTTACTAAATGGTTTTGTTGTGTGAACGATGCTTGAATCTCCTACTCAATCCAAAGGAAAAACTAACAAGTGAAACTTGTATTTTGCAGTGCCAATATGTAAATTGATGACTGCCTAAAACCTTTGACATGATTTTTGGTATTGTTGTTGAATTAAGTTTGGCTAATTGGTTTGTTTGTCAAGTTCCATGTACATTGGCATATATTCAAGACACCCTAACGGTCGGTGGTCTTCATGAAAGTGCACACAATGTTATGTCTTTTATGCTTGACCAGTTACTCTTAATTTTTTAATCCTCTTGTTTCCCTTATCTTTCCAACTATTAATTGGCTCAATAAATTAATTTATTAGATTGATTAGGAAAAGGAATCATTAACTTCTTATCTGATAGGTGTATTGCTTGGACAGGGGCGTTCCGTAACTAGTGAAGGCGATGATTCATACCTTGAAGATGATATAATTGAACACAAGTAAGATATCTTTTTGCTACCACAATCTCCACACCATATTTCGTAACACTATAGAATATTTGTACCTTCTTTGAAAGCAATCAATCCTCCCTAGTTATGTTAGAAGTCCGTATAGTTGCCGCTAATTTGTGTTTCTATAAGTCGTTAGAAGTCTTCGTACAAATATATAATCCATTCACTTAGGTTGCGTTTTGATACAGGTCCTAGTAGATTGACCCAAGGCATGTCCAAACCAAGAATATGGAATGTGTATTCTAAAAGGCCCAAAGGAGTAAAAGGGGGAATTGGGCCCACTTAGTTACAACACAAAGGTGATGTGTCTTTTAAATAGTAGGAGGTGGGTAGCATGGAAGGGGCATTGAGAATTATTGGTAATTTCATTTGGCTCTTAGCTTTGCTTTAAGAGAGGAAGTTAGTTCCCTTGAACTCTGTTTACGTTTTCCTTTATAAGTTCTCTTCTTAGTAATCATTCAATTGAATCCTTCAATTCCGATCAATTCATTTGCAATCCTTTGAACTCTTATCATTGGTCCGACCTGCCTTGACCTGCCGTTTTCTTCCATGGAATCTATCGCAACAAACTCGTTTGGATCAACATGAAGAGCAACTTCAGAAACTTCAAGCGGATGTTATTAGGAGATCTAAACTGTGATTCACGCTTGAAAATCAGATCGTGTAGAAGAGGAGGAATTTCGGAAAATTGTGATATCTTGGGTAAAACAACAAGGTAAACAGCTTAACTAAGAAAGTGGAGGTCCTATGGTTTCTGGCGGATCTCATACTCCATCGACTCCTTATGGTGGTGCTATTCTGATGACTCAGGGAGGTCATTCTCCAAATTGCGGATTGCAATTTGGATCTCTCCAGTCTGCAAAGAAGATTAAACTGCCAGAGTTTTATGGCTTTGATCCTCAAGGATGAATTTAGAAGCCTGAGTTGTTTTTCGATATTCATGGTACACCTCCTTACCTTCGAATTCAATTGGCACAGTTGAGTATGGTGGGTATCGCTCAGCACTGGTTCACGATAGTGAAGCAAATTTATGATTCTCTTACTCGGGAGCAATTGACAAGCGAATTATTGCAACGATTTAGTAGTCTCGAGATCCAAAATTCTTATGAACAATTAGCTATGATTAAACTGGTAGCTTCTATCCACGATTATATCGATGATTCTGAATGTATGTTATCGTTGTTTCCCTGTTTGCCCGAATCCCACGCTTTGAGATATTTCGTTGCGGGATTACAGGATGAAGTGAAGCGTTGGGTTCGCCTTCATTGCTCTCAATCTCGTTTGGACGCCATGTATTTGGCCAAAGACATCGAAGAAATGCTTCGACCTTCCTCGATCGGCGTCTCCCAATCACGTTTTCGTTATCAAGTTCAGGGATGCGGTGGTGGTGTTGGGTCTCCTTAATCTGTGGGCCGATCAGATTTTAAAGGCCCTATTGGATCTAGTCTAAATGACAAAAGCCCATTGCCCCATTTTGAGCCCAATCGACCATCTCCTATGAGTTGATCTCATTCGATTTTTTCTATTGATTCTTCTAATGTAGGTGATCGAAATAGAGGGTTTCGTTCTCTCACTCGCACGGAACACGAAGAATGCCGGAAGAAGGGTCTCTGTTATTGGTCAAGCGTTTGGTCCGGCTCACAAATGCCCAAATTGAGGGTGTTGTTACTGGTTGATGATGAAACCATCGATGATGGGGGTGAAATAAGATATATGGGTTCGAACGAGGACCTTGGGGATAGAGACGATGATTCCCATCCTACTGGTCTTTGTACTGTGTTGGAATTTCATGGGGCGTGAGCCAATTCTGAATCGGGAGGCAAATTGTTGAAAATTGAGGAGCGATTTCTGGAATTCCGATTGTTATTTTGGTGGACAGTGGGGCAACCCATAATTTCATTTCGCGTAAATTGGTTACTGCTTTGGGTGTCTCCTCTCAATTTTTCTCTGGCATTAGTATTCAATTGGGTGATGGGCATACAATTTTGGTTAACCAACGTTGTTTGGAATTGAATCTGTTGATTGGCGGCTGTGAAATTTTGGTTGATGCTTTGTTGTTTGAAATGGGTCACTTAGATTTAGTTCTGGGTATGGACTGGCTCATAACTTTGGGCAATGTGGTTCGTAATTGGAAGCAGCAATCCATTAGATTCATGTTAAATGGGAAATTAGTGTGTCTCCAAGGATTGTCTAATTCTCAGGTGGTTCAGGCTTCTTTATGTATGTGGTTATCATTGGAAGAATCGCGTCAATCCTTGCCGACCAGTTTGTTAATGGCGGAGTCGGTAAAAAAGGGTGAAGTGCTATTGGTTGATCAACAGACTGATTTACTGCTCCTGTTCGACAGATTTTCTATTATTTTCAAGACCTTACGGGTCTCCCCTAGTCGTTCTCATGATCATGGAATTCTGCTAGCTTCGCCAAACTCTTCCATTTGCGTGCGACCCTATCGATATCCTCATTTTCAGAAAGCCGAAATTGAAAGAAAAGTCAAGGAGCTTCTATATTTGGGAATGATTCGGCTTGGTAAAAGCGCTTTTTCGGGTCCGGTTATTTTAGTTCGCAAGAAAGACCAATCATGGCGTATGTGTGCTGACTATCGCGCCCTTAACAAAGCCACCATCCCCGACAAATTTCCGATTCCAGTTGTCGACGAACTCATTAACGAATTGATGGGAGCCCATTTCTTTACGAAATTGGATCTAAAATCTGGTTATAACCAGATTCGTGTGCAGTCTGGTAGCATTGAGAAGACAACATTTCGTACTCACAATCGCCATTATGAATATTTGGTAATGCTTTTTGGTCTCACTAATGCACCGGCTACCTTCCAAGCCATAATGAACGATATCTTTAGGCCACATTTACGCAAGTTGGATGTGGTTTTTTCCGACAACATCTTAATTTACAGCCCTTCTTGGCCACAACACATGGAAGATTTGCGTACTGGCCTCAAGTTTTAGTCGACAATCAATTTGTGGTTAATCGCAAGAAATAGTTCGTTTGGGCAGTCTTCTATTGAATATTTGGGACATATTATCAACGGTCAGGGTGTTGCCATGGACCCTAAGAAGATTTCGGCTGTTTTGGAGTGACCAGTCCTGAAACAACTGAAAGGGTTACGCTGTTTTCTGGGCCTTACGGGTTAATACCGTAAATTTATACGTCATTATGGTAGTATTGCTAAACCATTGACAAATTTAACAAAGACGCTTTTGGATGGAATTTGGAAGACAAACAGCTTTTGAAGCATTGAAAATGATATGGTCATGGCCCCCGTTTTGGCACTACTTGATTTCTCGACTCCTTCCTTAGTCGAGTGTGATGCTTGTGGTCGAGGCATTGGGGCTGTCTTGATGCAGCTACAAAGACCCATTGCTTATTTTAGCAACGCGTTGAGTGAGTAAAATCTAGCCTAATCGGCTTATGAAAGAGAAATCATGGCACTGGTTTTGGCTGTCCAGCATAGGCGGTCGTATCTGTTGGGTACTAGCTTCATCGTGTACACCGATCAGAAGAGTCTTAAATTTCTGTGCAGCAATGAATTACAAACCCGGACAACAAAATCGGGTGGCGAAATTGTTGGGATATCAATCCGGTATTTTGTACAAACCTGGATGTGAAAACAGAGCCGCTGATGCCTTGTCCCGTCGAGCGGAGGATGGTGAATTGTCTTCTTTGATTTCGGGTCTAGCATGGGTTCATGGGGCTCAACTCGTTAAGGAAGCTTGAGCTGACCCGGGAATACAAAAGATTATTCGGGACTGGAAAGACGACCCGAAGACACACCCCGGTTATATAGTTCGACATGATGTTTTATTTTATAAAGACATATTGGTGATTCCTTGTACTTTGAAGCTGATTCCTTCACTTTCAAAGGAATTCCACACTTCTCTTACCGGGGGAGACTCGGGTTATTATTGATTAGCCACAAATTTATATTGGCCAGGAATGATCGCTACTGTACGTGAGTTTGTAAAGGCTTGCGATATTTGCAGCAATGCAAGGCAAGTTCTGCAGCTCCAAATGGGTTACTCCAACCTCTTGATATTCCTGATGCGGTATGGGAACATCTATCTCTGGATTTCATCTTGGGACTGCCTATGTCTAAGGGATATGATGCTTGACTCGTGTTGGTGGATCGGCTATCAAAATACAGCAATTTCATTCTTATTAAACATCCTTATATGGCCGTGTCTATTGCGGATGTTTTCGTTCGTGAAATAGTTCGACACCACGGAATTCCAAAACCTATTGTCAGCGACCATGATCCCCTGTTTCTTGGTCACTTTTGGCAAGAGCTCTTTCGTTTACAAGGAATGAAATTACACGAGTTTGGCGTATCATTCAGAATCAGATGGTCAAACAGAAGTTATTAACTGCTGTTTGGAGACGTATCTTCGCTGTTTTGCAATTGATCAGCCTCGATCATGGGCTTCATGGGTTTCTTTGGCTGAATTTTGGTATAATTCGACCTTTCACGACTCCACGGGTCGGTCACCGTTTGAAGTGGTATGTGGTTGCAACCTCCTACGGTGGTTAAGTTTGTTCCGGGAGAAATTCGAGTAGAAGCAGTGGGCCAAGAATTATGTGATTGGGACGAGGCTTTAAAACAACTCAAGAGTCATTTGTCGCACGCTCAATCGTTCATGAAAGATCAAGCAGATAAGAAGCAACGAGAAGTTAGTTTCCAGATTGGAGAATAGATTTATGTCAACCTCATGCCGTAACGTCAAATGACCGTTGTTCAACGAATTCATCAGAAGTTGGCTGCTTGGTATTTTGGACCTTTCAAGATTGTGAAAAAGATCGGACTGTTTGCTTATAAACTGGATTTACCTTCTTCATCGCGGGTACATCCAGTTTTTCATGTATCCTTACTTAAAAAGGTTGTGCTGTTGCCCGAGGTGGATCAAGTTCTTCCACCTGAACTGGAATTAAACGCCAATGATTTACATTCTCCCGCAGAAATTTGTGCAGTACGTACAGTACTTCAGGATGGGGAATCAGTGTTAAAGGGGCCAATACGGTGGAAAGGGCAAAATTTGGAAGAAGCCACGTGGGAGGATGCTAATACTATCAAGAGGCAGTTCCTGGCATAAGTCTTGAGTACAAGACTTTAATGGAAGGGGGAGTAATGATAAACCCTATTAGATTGACCCAAGGCATGTCCAAACCAAGAATATGGAATGTGTATTCTAGAAAGGCCCAAAGGAGTAAAAGGGGGAATTGGGCCCAGTTACAACAAAAAGGTGATGTGTCTTTTAAATAGTGGGAGGTGGTAGCAGGGGAGGGGCATTGAGAATTATCTGGTAATTTCATTTGGCTCTTAGCTTTGCTTTGAGAGAGGGAGGTTAGTTCCCTGGAACTTTGTTTATGTTTTCCTCTGTAAGTTCTTTTCTTAGTAATCATTTAATTGAATCCTTCAGTTCCGATCAATTCGTTTGCATTCCTTTGAACACTTATCACGTTTGGTACATGAACGGGACTGGTTGAACTGGATTGGACAGGACTAGTTGTTTGTATAATGTTTGGTAAAACTAGTATAGAGCAGGATAAAATGTTAAATGGAACATATTGACCCTAGAGTGTATTTTAATGTTTGTTTACCAAATAACAACTATAAATGAAAAATGTAATATTTAAATAAATTTTATTATGAAACATTTATACATAATTTATCCATTATATATTTTATAATCGGTTAACAGCCGACCGCTCTACCACTGAGCTACTGAGGAACAACGGGAGATTCGATCTCATTTATCCATTATAATATTTTATATTATATAGATGTATAAACGTATAAATATATATATATACACACACACACACATAGGGTTGGGGTTTCGTGAGAACTCCCCCTTTTCATAGAACCTATTTGGAACCCCCATCTTTTATGATCCAACAGAGATGATTGTGCATGTTTTTGTGAAGGAGTGACTTTCGTCTTTTGGTTTTACACATCTGGGCACGATTCGTTTGATTTTGTGAAGATATGTTAAGGCTTTCATACGAGGTATATGCACCTTCAGTGTTTTTCATGTTAAAGTATGTGAGATATGCAAAGGTATGTTAAGTTTTTCATGTCAAGGTATGTTAAAGTTTGTTAAGGTTACTGAAGGTATATGCACATTCAATGTTTTTCTTGTTAAGGTACGTGTCCCTTACAACCATGACCCACTGAAATTCTACTTAATTACAGAAATGTCATCGCGCTTTTTGCAGCCTTGTGACAAAAAGAATTTCAAGGGCTTAGAAGGTGTTCTCACGGTTCTTACGAAAAAAGTCTCAGTTTATCCCGAGTCTATATGTGTGTATGTGTGTGTGTGTGTATATATATATATAGATAATCCTGTTGAGGGGATGTAATAGGAAAAGCAAAAATGAAGGTGAAATTGTCTTTTTGTCCCAACTCGGTCCAATCCAATGTTGCGTCAAACGTTCCAGAATAATTCTTTTTTTTTTCTGTCCAATCCCGTACAATTATCGTTTGATGTCTTATTCAAAGAAAAGGTTTTCAAATTTGGAGGTAAATTAAGTTTTTGAAGTATATGATATTTATATACTGCAAATACTCACACACACTCTTGTTTTAACCCTTGACCTCCACGAAGATTGGGCTACCAGGGTACCGCTTGGCCAATGGCCCTTTGGTACAAGTCAACCTAATCATACAAGTTTAATTGTAAACGATGATGAATTTGCATTGGAGGGACGATGTTGGATGCAATGACAGAATAGCAAGTCAACCAAATTATAAGCAATTTAGTGATCCAAGTCAACCGGAAAAAATGATGGAAGTTTTAGTTTTGGAGGCATAATGTTGGATATAATGGCGGATAGGAATAGCTCAAATTCATCACAATTCAACTATAATCAAATATTAAGAAAATTGGCGAGTTACATGGTCTTGGTTTGTTGTACCATCCCAACTTATAAAGCGTTGAGCGTGGCCGGCTTACATATTTCTTTGCTGAGTGCATTCTTGATTCTTCTAAAATGCATCAATTTCATGTACATGTACTATTGGTTTTACAACTGTATCAATCTGCTCTTCTAATGATGCATTTTGGAAGTTGAAGACAAGTGGTGCAGCACGAAGCAGGTCACTTTTTAGTTGGCTACTTGCTTGGTGTTTTACCAAAAAAGTACAGCCTTTTCAGCATGGAAGATATGAAGCAGGACAATATTGTTGATGCAAGTGTAAAGTTTATCGGCTTTGAATTTTTGACAAAGGTAACTGCAAGAATTTCTTTAGTTTTTATCCCCCTTAAAAGTAGTACCTTTTACCACTCTCAGTTACCTCCTATGAAAAGGGTTGAAAGGCTTCTTGAAGATTATTAACAACTAATCGAAGTTTATACAAAAACATATACAAATGAAAAGGAAGAACAAATCTACCTAATTAAGAATATTGCCTAGCTAGCTAGAGAGGATTTACAACTAACAAATGCATAAAAGATATTAAAATAATGATATGAAAATCAAAGATTGATATCTCTTGATTGAAGAAATTGAGGACACTTATGGAAGGTGATCAACAAAATGATCCTTATCACGCCTCCGCAAGACGAATGTCCTTTGGGGAAGTCCAATCTTGACAAATAACAAATAGAAACGAGATTTGGTTGTTGGTTTGGTGAGGGCATCAACTAATTGATCATCACCGGGAATAAGTTGAAGGTGAATTATGCCGAGCTATACTTGTTCACAAATGAAATGGAAGGCCGAGGCAAGATGTTTCATGTAGGAGTGAGAAACGAGATTAGCAAAGTAGTGTGTGGCACCAACATTATCACAATAGATGGCAGGCTAATGTGTTTGTGTCATTCCAAGTTCCGTAGAGAAAGAGTATAGCCAAAGTACTTCAACCTTTGTGTCGGCAATTGTTCAAAAATTTTCCTCAGTGGAGGAACGAGCTAAGGCTTGTTGCTTCTTGGAGCTTCATGACAATAGACTGCGACCAAGACAAACTAAGTAACCAGTAAATGTAGTTATCTATATCTTGAGCCCAATGAGCATGGGTAAAGGCATGGAGTTGTAACAGAGAGTTACAGTAGAGTTGAAGACCATAGTAAGATGTACCATTTACCGCTCTTAGTCACCTCCTATCCGTGATTAAGGTTGATATATCTTCATATAGTAGCCTTTTTTCTTCCTGGAAAATAACTCCACAAGTGGTCTTCTTATTTGTGACACTTCGTCCCATGTTAGGAAAAAATGAGATTTGTGTGCTCTTTGTAAGTCTTAAGTTAGGGACTGGTACTAATAACTTCCACTATGATTTTAAGTTGATTTGGAGGTAACTGGGTCACCTGACTACTTTGAGCTTGGGGTTACTAATGGTATGAGAGCAATAGCCTCTCAAGGTGTAGTGAGTTGGGCTCATGCATCTCGTGGTGTATTTATTGTGGGTGTGTATGTCTGACGAAGACATTAAGAATATAATTGGGAGAGTCTGTGACAAACCGTTTACATCGACAGAAAGTGAGATTAATGAACCTTATAAGCCTTAAGTTGTGGGCTAGTGAGAACTTTCACTGCTGATTTGAAGGTTATTGGGTCGCTTCGTTCTTGGGGCATTACATCATTGTCTTCATCTTGGGATTTGATGCTGAAATGGGATCTCTCTTACTTTTAGCGATCAAGAAATGTTTCTTTGTAATAACTATGACCGGTCAGAGAAAAATATAAAATGAAGCAATTTATTTCTTGATGAGAGGCAGGGAACTTTTGTTTTTTGCTATCCTATATTTATAATGATCTTATATCTACATTCTACCTTGGTTGCTAACTCGTTTGAGCTTCTTGAATTTTGATGATAAAATACTTTAACTAGGACACATATATTTGTTTTATATGAGAAAACTTCCACTGATTTGCTTCCATTTTAACCCTTTGCATAAAAGACAAATTATTTTCATAAACAGAAAGATGTAATCATTGGTGTTTTGTACTAGTATTTTAAAGTTATTTCAGAATTTAACAAGTTTGTGGAAGTTGATCTTGTTGAGATTTGTTAAACCATAAATGCAATTAAAATTAATTCATAAAGGAATTATTACTTGAAATAAGCATATTATTTTCACAGTTCTTTCAAACAGAAATAAAATGCTCAGAGACTGTAAAGAGAGGGTGCCATCAGTAACCTTATTCCAGGGCACTGAGAAGTTGGGGCACCCACAGCAAATTTATTTGAAGTGTAGTTCGTAGATTAACTTTATATAAATAAGCATCTCAATGTGCAGTTGAAGTCACACGCAAAGGGCAGTGTCAGTCTTTTGTGATCAATAAGATATTCCTGATCTCTGACCTCCACTTTTAGTCTATAATACATGCCTTCAATCCCTCAAGAAAACCATGGTCCAAGAAAAAGAGCTCAAATCTGCTGACGTTCACTTTAAAACTTGTAAAAGGCAGTTAGGTTATTCAAATATGTGAAAAATATGTTTAATATATTTGGATGACAGTGGCTAACACCTTCTATCACTCATGATCAGTAAGAACCCGATTCGTAATGCATGAGGGAGAAGAAAGAGTGAGAAGAAAACAGAGATATAGAGGGTGAGAAGCAAGCATAGAAATATGAATCAGAGTGTAGCTAACTGGATGCTAAAAGTTAGATATGCATGAAGCAGGCCACACATCCCTGTAAAGCTCTTTTTCATTTAACATTCATGCATGAAGTAGGCTACACATCCACTAAATAGTCATTCGATCCGTGATTGCAAATTTTAACATTAATTTTGATTTTTCTATTGACTAAGATTACACATCAAAGTGAGCAACAGGTAATTATAGGGGATGGCAATAAGTGAACAATATTCTTGTTGAACTTTAAATTACAGCGGTACTAGAAACTAAAAACCATACATGTTAGGAGTAAACCTCACCAAGGACGAGGAAGGTCTGTGAGTTTATTTGTTGCATTTGCCATATATAAAAATTATATACTTTAAAAAAAACCCAAACAGCCAAACTAACTTAGTCAAACCAAGTATAACAGTGCTAAACTGAGGTCTATATGCTAAATGCATTTGTAGGGATTATTATGACTTGCATGTAATTAAGGGGGAACCAAACTTCAAGCCAAATACTGCTTGCAGAATATGTTTACATTGCTACCAAAAGGTCTGGATTGTCAAAATAGAAATTTCTGACTTTGACTTGATGGTATCCAAAGTATTTACTTGCGAATTCAGGATGGGTTAAAAAATATAGATCATGTTTGTTTCCACCATTTTCTAGCTGTAGCTTGGTGTCACTAGATTTGAAGATTCTTCCAATGTAGTTCATTCCTTAACATCAATTTGCTAATGTAGTTTTTGCTTCTCTATTCATAAGAAAGAGTACCTTTTATTATGCAGTTAGAAGATGGAGTACTATCAAAAAACTTGCAAGTAAAGCCAGGTCATCAGGTGAGCCTACTCTTTCCTATATACTCCTTTATATTCCTGAAGGATGGATGATAATGAGCTGAAGTATCTATAGTCCATTTCTAAATGTCTGTGGTACCGATAAGATTGGAAGGTAGAATGCCAATTTGCTTTCATATCCATCAACCTTCTTGTCAACAACCTGATCAGCATTTGGTTATATTTATGCATGTATGAAACCTCTTTTTAAAACTTATGATGCAATCCTTTGTTAAAGGTCAATAAGGCTGGAGCAAAGTGCATAACATTTCCAAATCATAGACTCATAGCTGATATTGCCAACTCCAATTCTGTAGTTGTCACTCTTCAAAGCCAATCTTTTGATCAGTTATAGCTTGTGTCTGTAGTAGATATACATATATATGGATTCAAGTGCATCTTTGTGTATTCTTCAAAAGATAGATGGTGATTCCAGCATGTTCTATTAGTTGATTATAGCATTGTACAAACATCTAACATGCGCTGTTTCACAATGCATGCAGGCCAATAAGTGCAAGTTGTCTTCCACGGTTAGTTATCTTATTCTCTTTAACTTTTTCTGTTATACTTGTTCATTGTTCCATTTAGATTTTCGGCAATACCTATTTCTCCTATTGCATATTGAGAATCTAAAGAACAATATGGTACAACCACTTCAAACATAAAAGCTAGTGAATAAAGAGAGCAAAGAAAGAGGACCTGACTCACCATCCACCCCAATCTCATTATATTTTAGTTTGCCCATTATCAATGTAGATGCTTCTCAATTGATGTTCATCATTACAAGCTGTACATCAATGCACATTGCCTCTAACAAGTAGGGGTGAACGCGGGTTGGGTTGGGCGGTTTACAACAATTTTACAACCCAACCCAATTATGGCGGTTTGGAATTTCTCAACCCAACCCAACCCATTCAAAAGTATAACCCAACCCAACCCAACCCTTGCGGGTTAATGCGGGTTGGGTTGGGTTGGCGGGTTAGTAATTACATAATTTGACGAATGAAATAATTAATAAAACTTATGTTTATAGACCATACTATAAAACGTTCTATCTAAAAATGTAACAATAGGTTTATGGAACGTTTTTGGACGTTTCAACAAGTGTTTTAGAATGATCTTTAAGTAAAACGTCGTATTAGTTATTTTATGGAAATATTTTGAGAAGTGTCCCGTAAACTCATCTATTTATAGGACACCTATGCTCATATGACACTTTTTCAAGTCGTGTTGTATAAAATAACTAATACGACACTTTATTTTAAAAGCATCATAGAATTCGTTAAGACGTCCAAAACCATCCTATAAACATATTGAAACTCTTTTAGATAAGACATCTTTCTAATGTAACTCTTTAAAAGCGTCATAGATTGATGGATTCGTCCATCAAATATCTATCAATATCATTCATATTTTCCAACATATCAATTTGTTGTTGGTGCAAAACAAATCAATAATTTTCCTTATTAATTAGATTCTTTGTCATMATTCTTTGATCGTGAATCTCTTTTGGTAACCTATACGTTTAGTTAAAATGAAACAAAATATAATATCAATAAAAATTATATAAAATTTATACATTATTAATATATATATATATATATATATATACATAAAAAACATATATATATATATATATATATAATTTTATAAAAATTATATATTAACGGCGGGTTGACGGGTTGGGCAGCTCAACCCAATTTCAACCCTCCTAATTGGCGGGTGGACGGTTTGGCGGGTGGACGGTTTGGCGGGTAGACGGGTTGGGTTTAATTGGGTTGTTTGCGGGTTGGGTTGGGCGGTTTCGCGGGTTGACGGTTTTTTGTTCACCCCTACTAACAAGGTCCAAAATTCAAGCTTAACTTAAAGTTCCCTTATTCTTCTTCATAATGTTCATTGAACCAAAAGAACAAAATAAATTCTAGAGCAAGTCTCAAGCAAGCAAACATTAGAGTGGCTATACATTACAAGGATTACCTAGGCTCAAAACTTTAAAACTCAAGAGCACTGAACATTAACTAAAACAATCGAAACGTTGAGGGCAGCTCAACTGGCAAATAAAGGCTAGCGTTCAACTCTTCTCACAACCACTGTTTTCCAGGCTGTTATCTTCTGTGCCCCATGGAATTAGTCGATGTGCCCTCAAACTTGGCATGGACACCCACAGTCACCAAAAAGGAAAAACTAAAACAATCAGTAAAGTTGGTATTATTCCATCTTGAACATAACCTGGAAAACCTCTTGAGCCTAAAGTAACATTAAGATAGCATTCCCCTGAAGTTTCTCCACACATCTCCATTTCATTTTGGAGGTAGGATTCTTTCCCCTTTGGTTTCTTAAATCACATCTTAATACTATCTAGAGTTACATCAAGAAAACATTCCCTGAAGTTTCTCCACCGTCTCCATTTGAGTTTGGAGGTAGGACTCTTTTCACTTTGTTGCTAAATTGGGAGGTACACTAGTTTATCCTTTCCCTTAGGATTAGATGCCTCGATCAGCATTCTAAAATCATTAAGCATATTTCTTTCATTAGTGCTTAGCCATATAAAATGTTTATGTGCTCATATTTTTTAGGTTAAAACCCCTTAAGAATGAGATGTTAGGATGAACTTCCCAAAATAGATTAATATCAAGAAAGGGAACCAAATACGCGACCTCAAGCCTGTACTTATTCCTCGTTCCATAAAACCCAAGAACATTGCTTCTTATTGGTACAAATCATTAGAGAGCATGATTACATCATCAATAAAAGCAGAAAGTACTGGAACATGTTGTTTCGGGGTACTAAATATAAGGGTATAAACAAGATAATAAAGACAACTACTTATTGCTTCAAGGCGAGTCCTCTTTGTTCTTAAAGCAATTTCTCCCCCATCGTTAGATAGAAATAGTGCTTTGGGTTTATGGCGAATTGCTTCACAAGATACAATGAAGCATCGTATGTAGAACAAATATCAACACCGCACTTAGTGGTGATAATCCCGGTGAACTATTGAGTTTGCAAGGATTTTTAGTAACTAAGAAATTGTGTTTCTATAGCAACACTACCTATAGTAATTTGATGTCGAGAAAAGATCTGCTTTTTGGTGTACGCATCTATTTATAGGTTTTCCTAACAGCCCCTTTAAACTGTCACATTTAATAGAATTTTGACACCTGGAAGTATTAGCGACGGTTTAAACTGTCATAACTGTAACTAGCGACGTTTATGCGACTGTTCAAACAGTCACCTATTGTATTAACTGTCACTGACCACCAACCGAACCATTGCAATGGTTCACCATGTACACAAGTGTCAGATTTACATGACCTGTCATGATTGCTTGCCAACACACTCATTAAGTCGCCGCACCTATTTGGTGCTGTCACTAATGAGGTTGTGAGAAATAAATATGTGAACCCCCTCCATTTCCAATATATTAAATTAATATATAGAAAATTATTCCACTTACATACTCACTTTTGTTCCACTCTTTCACCTATGTGGGACAAGCTGAAACCCACCAAAATGAGCTTTTCTCTTCTTCCTAAGACTCAACCCACAACAAATAAAAACATCTATAGCCTTTTGAAAATTTCACCAACAAAACCCCACCATTTTCAAATCACACTCAAATTTTATAAAAGATCGACACAAATGTAGCTAACTAGATTCCGAAATCCTTGGGTGTTATGCATAAGTAAAGGTGGAGTCTTGCACCTTGAACCTTTATGTAGTGAAATCACTCAAGTCTAACTAGGGTAAGAATGGTTGAACCAAAGTCATTGAACCATCTTTCTTTATATATTAGATGGAAATGCCTCACACATATCCTTCCTCTCATTCATTCACCCACTATAAGCCGACCTATTAATTGGCCATGGGTGTGTATCTTGATTTCTTAGAATGCTTTGGAGCGCCCTTTGGCTCATATGAAACGGTCTCACTTCCACATTCAGATAGGTGGATCTTGTCAAGAGTATTTGGTGTAACTTAAAACACTGCAACACAATATGTATTACAAGTCCATTGAGAACTAGATTCAACCTTTCTTAACATTACGGTTCCAACTCCTGCTAATCTTGGGGTGGTTTTAAAATATTGCTGAACTTTCAGCCACATTCAAATGATGTACTTTCACTTAGTCTTGAGACTTGGTGAATACCAAGTGTCAAGAAAAGGATCCATCATGGGTGAAGTACTTATAGGTGGGCTTGAGTCTCATCCCTCTTGAAGTGCTTTCAATTAATTTTCTTGATAATCCTTTTGTGAAAGGATATGCCAAGTTCTTACTTGATTGTAAGAAACTAATGATGATCACCCCATAAGCATGGTGATAGTTTTAAAAATGGGTGACAAAGTCCTTTGGGCTCTTCTTCTTCTTCTAAAAGTTCTTTCAATGTCAGGGTCCAAGTCTAAAACTTCACCGTGTGACAAATGAGGAATACAACTAAAATCAATAACAGGGGTGGTAGAAAAATTTAGATTTTAAAAATGGCTGAGAAAACTCTTGCTTTGGCTATCCCTGGCAACGACGCCAAAAACTTGTTGCGATTAAGGATATACCTCAAACTGTTAGGACTAATGGAAGAATACGTAGGTATACATACTCATTCCATATCGTCTGTAAACAAGTCATAATGGTAAGAATACCATATTATCGTTCCTCAGGGATAATGCTAGTAAGAGTTTCCAACAAGTTGATCTTAAAAAAAGATTTCCAAAAGGTGATTTCAAAGGAATGATTTTTGGTTTGAGTTAACAATCTACTGAGATATGACAAGAATAATAGAAAGCATGGGTGTAAGCTTAGATTTAGATTTCAGAAAGGCAAGTGTAGCAGAACCTTGCAACAACATCTAAATTAGATGTAGTATAGCTCTGAAACTACTAGCTTGAACAATCTTCTTTCAAAGTTAAGACGGAACACCCTACTCACAGTATTCGAGGATATAAATGCAAGCAAATGGTGTAAATCCTACCATTTTCACCATGTAGTTGCAAACTTCAATTAGGTTAGTGGAAGCACAAAATGGCTATCTACAACACTTGTTTTATATTGATGTTGTGGCCAACAACTTCATACAAGTAAAATATTTGTGTCACTAGGTCAAAGATTACTTAGAAGTAATATTGGAAACGTTAAGTGTATAGGGGAGTCGATTGCTATGGTAAAAAGCAATTATCCACATACACTTAAACTTACTCTCTCATCCCTTACTCACACCCAAGCCAGGGGTTTTAGCCCATCATTGCTAGAAAAAGTAAAGACGTAAATGTAAATGACATAAGAGTAAAGTGCTTAAAGGTAAAAGATGAGCAAAGTAAACTTGTGAGAAAGGTAAAAGTGCAAGAAATGTAAACTTGTGAGAAATGTAAAGTGCGAGAAACATAAAGTGCGAGAAACATAAAGTACTGGAAAGGTAAAATGGGTGGAAAGTAAACTTGAGCTTTTAAACCTTGTTTAAAAGAGGCAGCTTCCTGGTGCACAATTGTTCGCTTCCCGGGGGTAAAAATTGTAAAACAAGAAATAGAAATTTGCAGAAAATGTATCTTGTTGTGGAACAATAAGAAGAATGTTGTAGCAATTGAAAGATTAGTTAAATAAAAACTAGGTTAGTTTCCACAAGCTTAAGAGCTTGTTTCCAACTTGCATACAAACTAAATACTGAAGACCAATATTTATACTAAGCTAAGATGCCAAATACATCAACAAAAAGCACTTCCCAAAGTTTGACTACCTTAAAGCAACTTTAGGGTACAAAAATAAGAGCATCTAAAAGTATTGTGGGTACTATGAGGGTTACATCATAAAAAGAAATAAAAATTAACATAAAGTGATGGGAGCCAGCTTCCAATTCTTGAGATCAGCAAAAAGTTCTTCAACTAGTACTTGAAATCCAACTAAACTCCTTACACGAACTCTGTGGAATTCTGCAGCAACCTGACAGTTAGTATATTTTCCCATTTTGCACCGAAACAAGACCAAACTCACTAACTGTGCTCCAGACTCGACAAACATAAAATATGAATGAGGTGACTCAGTTTGTGACTAGAATGAACAAAATACTATGAGTTAAGGTCCTAAAAATATACGAAAAGTGGGTAGGAATGCACTCTTATCAATGATATTATGGAATTTACCATCTCCATCAAGGTATGATTCTTTCTCTCCGTATTACCATTTTGTTGCGGTGTATACAGAGGTCACTTGGTAAATAATTCCTGTAGACTCAAAATATCTAGGGTTATAGTATACACCACCCCTATCCGTCCTCAAACACTATCTTTGTTTCACATTTAAGTTCTACTTCATTTTTGTAGATATCAAAATTTTTAAGGACTTCATCTTTCGAGTGTAAAATTATACATAGCAAAATCGAGAATAATAGTCGATAAAAGTGGCAAAATACTTTTTACCACCAAGAGGAGTAGCATGTAAGTCACATATGTGACTCTGCTCTAAGTCTAAGATTTTAGAAGATCTATGGACTTGAGGGAAAGGTTGTCTAGTAATTTTAGTATGTAAGGCACTTTTGATTTTTATCATCTAACTTCGGATTTAGATCATATTTGCCATATTTTTTAAACGTTTAAAATGACCTTGACCTAATCGATCATGCCTTAAAAGTAAGGAAGAATCAAAGTAAGCTGAACTAGTAGTAGTATTATTAGCATCATTTATATGTACATACAGAGCAATCGTGTTATTTGCGTTGCTTACATAATTGTGCTACTATTGACAACATCATTTATGTTTAGTTTAGACATTCTTCTTGTGAGATAGCCTTTGCCGATGAATTTCCCGCCTTTGGAGAGTATAAACTTGTCAGATTCGAAGATGAGTTTGAACCCATGTTTGTTGAGGATTGATCCGCAAACCAAGTTCTTGTGGATGTCGGAAACATGGAGAACGTCATTTAGGGTCAAGGTGTTCCCCAATGTGAATTCCAAAGTTACCTTTATATTGGTACAAAATGAACCTTAAAAAGTATGATTAAATCATCAATAAAAGCAGAAATTACTGGAACAGAAGTTGGCTGAGACCGATTTATAACATGAGAACATATACAAGATACATCTGTCAGCCCTCCTCCTCATGTTCGTTATAAGTATCATGTCCAACTCACCACAATAGGGTCAATTTCGTATAGAATGTGCACTAGTACTCTGAATAGATTGAGGTTTGTGGGAAGCAGTGCTGATAACTTTCTTATTTGCAGAAAAGGAAAATACAGTTTTAACCCATGTGAGCCTTGCATATCCGAGCAAAGTTTTACTATATCTTATGAGATTTACAAATTAAGATTTTACATATGAATCTGCACTGAACTACATACAATTGTTTTTTTAATTTATGTAATGTTTGTCGATCATAAGCTAGCTTATTTTTTGATTTCATTGAAAAAACTCCATTTGGTTAGCCATAAGTTTAGTTTTTGCTCCAAATGATTTTTCTTTTTCCAGTTATTCCCTTTTCAGCCAGTTTTTACTAGTTTATTAGCTAGTTTGCGAAACATATATAAATTCATCAAGTATGATTTGGGCTTCCTCCCATTGTATTAGGCTTAGAGTAAACTACGATTTTCGTCCCCATGGTTTGTTGCTCGTAACTATATTCGTCCCCGTGGTTTGTTGCTCGTAACTATATTCGTCCCCATGGTTTGTTGCTCGTAACTATTTTCATCCCTTGATTTAAGAATTGCTTTTATCGTCATTATGGTTTCCGTTTCCCTTCGCTTTTCGTCCCTAGGACTAATTCCGTTAGAAAAGTAAGTTAAATCAAGGATATTTCCTCTCTTTACTTTTTAACTTGATTTTTCTACTAAAAAGTTAAAACTCATCCCAATAATACCCCACTCCCTCCCCAACTGTGCTCTCCAGCGATCTCCTCTTCTACAACCACCATCTTGAGCAACAAAACAGTGGGTTCTTCTTGAATGGAATCTGAGTCGAGTGACATAACTATTACTTTAATCTTGATTTTTTCTTACTTCTAATCTTGAGGTTGAGGAATGTAATTCAAGAACAAACAAATCACAAATTAAGGAACAACGCATGAATTCAAGAATATTCAACCCAAAAGTTAAGGGTATTTTGATTTCTTAAATAACAATTGAAGAACATTTAGATAAAACCCTAAAATCTAAATCAAAACCCTTGACCAAAATAAATCATAAAATTGGCGGTCGTTGATTTTCATATAGGCCAGAGACGAATGAACAAAAACGAGTGGGCAGTCGTTGCTTTTGGAACAGTTGTCTGGAGACGAATGAGAAAAGAGAGCAGTCTGTTGCTTTTGGTATACTCGCCGCTATAAACGTGGAAGAGAGTGTTAGATATGGGATTTGGAGATGATACCCGGACTATATTTCACTTGGATCTCGTATGGTCACTTTCTAAAAACAAGTCGTCCTTTATTAGCCTTGCGTGTCATGAATTTTGTATTGGGATAATCCAAATGAAAACTGTAACCTTAGAGGCTGTAAGGTTGAGTCCTTGTATATACTTAGATTCTACATTTACATATTTATATGAGAAATCGACGGTTATGGAGGGTAAACGGTTGAAATATAACTGCCCAATATTATTAGTCAGCAGTTACAAATGACTTTGAAGCACCATTTCTCAGAAGCAATAGTTTAGAAGATCCTCGGTTGGAAGTCCAGAGGCTCTGCACTAGAGGCTCAGATGCTCTGACCATAAGGCTAAGAGGCTTAGCTAAGACTTAGAGAATCCAAGTGAAGACTCAGGGTTCTGCCCCTTGTACCCCCATAAAGGTTGCTGCCCCTAGGACCCTGCAAGGGAGCGCAACCCCCTTGACCCGCCTTAAGGCAATCTAAGGTGATAGAGGCAACATTTGTGATTGTGCAATCTGCACCTCCTACCTTACTAATGTTTGTCTTATTACCTAATCGATTCAAGTAAATCATGATCACACTAAAATGATCGACGACACTGAAATCACCAACAACGTGGATTAAAATCTTGGTTTACTCTTTGGTTTTACGTGGGGTTCCATTTTTCTTTGTTAGGTCTTAAGCAAGTTGTTATGTGTGATTGTTGGAGGGTTAGTGGCAGAGCATCTGGTGTTTGGATACTCGAAAGGACATCATGCTGATGTGGAAATGGTATGTTCTTCAGCTTTTCGTTGACAATTTAAGACGCACTGCATTTAGGATCGTTCATTTTATCAAACAGTTGAAGAGAGTGCTTAAGCAATCCACAGAAGATGAAGCAAACACACTGATCAGATGGTGTGTGCTGAACACACTTGTGATATTACATCATCATGGTGAAGCTAGATCGATGTTAGCGGAGGCCATGGCACATGGAAGATCGATCGGGAATTGCATCGACATAATAGAGAATACTCTAAAAGATCAACACATCTGAGCAACTCAAATCTGTAATCATGTGGTTGGTTTGTAACAAGATTATTTTATATGTTGAATCATAAGGTTGGCATCAAAGACCAAGTTATATTGAGGAAATATTTATTGAGCTAGACCGGTTAAAGTCACAACTCTCACTTAACTTGTCGAGTAACATCCTCTATTAACCTAGTTTTGGCCCCTATATTTTTTTTTGTTTTCAACGGTGTTCGTCCCTACATTTTAAAAACTACAACTTTGCCATTATGGTTGAAAAACACTCAGAAACTGGGTTTCTCTCTAACTGCCATTTAAGAAACCTTTTAATGACGGCATTTTAGATGTTTTCTACCTTTCTATCATTTTTTGTAAAATATAAAATATATTAATAAATGTATTACTTATCTATACTATATTATAAAACATTTGACAAAAACTTTTAAAAACCATTTTTTATGCACGAAGTACTGTTTATTGATGCATATTACTTAAAATTTAAGATTACAAGTAAATTGTGCATAAATACAACTTATTAGAACTTCATATTTGAATTCGTGTAACTAACTGTAGATAAACATAATCAAATACTGGATAAACATTCCATTTTAAATATAAAAAATCTAAAATATAAGTAGGATAATCATTGAGTTCTAACCGAATTCTTAGTTATTATCTTCATAAAAAAATATTATTAAATCTAAATTAAATTTCTTTGTTACTAAACCTAAATTAAATTATAATTAAAAATTGAATTAAGGAAATTACACTAAAACACAAGAACTTTTAAAAAGATTAATTTGATACTGATATCGATATATTTTTTTCAAAATTTTATGATACTTTCAAATTTATATTTTATTAAAAAATGAAAACATTATCGCTTTCTCAAAACTAAATAAAATCTTATTATATCAACATAAAAAAAAAATAAAACGAAACACTGAAATCAAGATATGTCTCGATGCATTGCACGGGTACCCTTCTAGTTAATATATATAGAGAGAGAGAAGAAAAAGAAAAATTCACAATTACAAACTCAATTTTTATTGTAAATATAAGGACTGATCTTGACCCTTTATTTTATTTGATCTAACAACTCACATTAAATACAATTTTTAATTAAAATTATTAATTAAGGTGATTAGAAGTAAAAAAGATATTTGATTTCAATTAATGTCTACCGTTTTTGACTTTTCATTTTCTTTTTTAATTAATTTTTTTACCTTCTTAATAGTTGAAGATAAATTATCTTCAAAAATACTAATATATTATTCAAACAGATTATATCAAAAAACGAGAATTCCATGCTGTGATAACTCCGCATTGTGGGATTTCATGTTAGTATTTTATTTCAGGATCCTGATTGAAAACTAAGTCTTTTTAGGATTTAGCCTCGATGGTCAGAGATCGTCTTCTTTAATTAGTCTGATTAGATCATGTTTCGACGGTAGCTAACCAAGTTAATTCATGCAAGYCAATTAGTCTTGAAATATTTCGCAAAAAGATAAAGTTGATATTTTAGTCTCGTTYTTYTAAAATTCAAAAATTTCCAAAGTTTCAATTTTCTTTTATTTATTTAGTTGCCTATTATTATTTTATAGGAGTAAAGTTTTAAAATCTTTTGTCAAATTGTTTTGTTTGTTTTAGATTTTTGGGGCATAGCATTTGGAAATTTAACATATTGGGCTTGGGCTTTGGGAGAACAGCCCATTTTCTTTCAAAAAACCCCATATAAATACTCCCTTCCCCTTTTGAAAACTCCTCATTCTTCAAAAAGTTCCAGCCTTTCGTTTT